ATTCCCTAATCTCGGGAAAAAACTTATTAAAAATCTTTATTCTTTTCTTTACATTTTCCGTTAGTAATGAGCAAACGATAATAATTTTGTAGCCTTTTGGGTGTTTTGAATATGGACAAGTTTTACCGTAAAGCTTACTATGGGGACGCTACAGTCATTAGTACCCTTTTCTTCTTCCGGTTAATGCAAAATCGCCATTGCTTTGAGCTAAAAAATTAACAAGGTATATATATATATATATATAATATATTCCTGAATCTGAAATATATACCTAGATCGATCATTATCTTCTATCCATATAGTTCAAAAAAAGTTTCAAAAAAAATCTTGCATTAAAAGTTTGAAAAACTCAGTTGAATTCCGATGTTTTCCCATAGATTAACATTACACCGGGAGTAAGTGAGGGTTCCACTCAATGTTGTTGTTTACAAAGTAGAACTAGTCCATAGAACACATTTTATAGAGTTTTTATTATTAAAGAAAAAAAGGCGATACATTCCTTAAAGTCAGTGTTAGAATCTGAGTTTCTAAACAGTTCGTAAAATTCACATAAATTTATTGGGATGTCCGAAAGCAATGATCATCATGCAGTGAGGTTTCGTGCATGATGAAACATACGTCATCCATCGCATGCCATACATACAAATTTCCCCTTCAGCTCATTTTAAAACAAAAAATGGTGCAGAAAGTATGACTAACATAGATTTTATCCAACAACTGTAAGAAATATTAGTTTCAGATAGGATTGCTATGTAAAAAAATTATTATCGCTAGACCAAAAAATAAAGTTTTGCTCTTTAAATTTTATTTGCATTTTTATTAATGTTTTACTTTTTTACTCTTATACAGGTAAATGAGTTTATAATCTTAATATATAAGTATGAAATACAGTAATTATATGTATAAGTCTTGTAATAAGCAATTAAATATATAAGTATTGTAATAAGTAATTAGATATATAAGTATTGAAATAAGTAATTAAATATATAAGTATTACAATAAGTAAATATGTAAGTAATCAAAATATGAAAAATTCTCTGGAGGGGCGGCATATTGGGTATTCGCACGCGGGCGGCCGACACCCTAGGATCGGCCCTGATGCATGAAGCTTGCTATTGGTGAAAAAATATCGTATGATAGCAAATTACGTAAGCTTACTTTGTTGTTGTTGTTATTGTTTTTGCTGTTGCTTATCTCCATGTCTAGCCAAGCTAGACCAAGTCCATGACCTCATTCACTCTCAAATAGTCCAACACCATTAGAGGGTTCTCATACAGATCTTGTTTTGTAAGCCCCAGGCAGTCAAGAATGTGTTCTGGAGATGCCTGGCAGGCAGAACATCTAACACAAATCGAAAAAACTTTGTTTCCATCTTTAAAAGTAATAGTTCGGAAGTGGCCATTTCGGAAACTTTAACGTAGTGCTGTTAATTTTTAAGGAGACACAGTTACGATGATTCCCGTTAGGCGGGTAGCTAGTAATTATTTAAACGCGAATCCTAAAGGCCAGGATTATTACGAATTAAAATAATTGTTTAGACAAACTAAAGGGAATAATTACACAAAATTAAACAACATACATATGCTTGTATTTTCTTTTGTTGTTGTTGTTTGCACAAACTATCAAAGTCTCGCTCCGTTGAAGTGGCCTGCTGTTGCATTTCATATTCTGCATTTAATTCAATTCTATATTTTGTTTTTGTAAAAACATGCGTTGAGAAAGATTTTTTCACTTAAACGCATTGCTCCCTATGGCATTAAAATTTTTATAACTATGTGAGAATCTTCCACGTTTTCTGTATGAATTTGCAATGGAAAATTTAGGAGTTGCTGTTAATGCATGATAAATTGTTCCCTCTTCTTCACTAGAAAGCCTTATTATTTATTGTAGTATTCAAACTGATTTTTTATCTATTCATGCTTAATTTTCTTTTCTAGAAAATACTTCCGTATGTTTTTTAACTGAAAAAATGTGTGCCGTTAGATACACTGCTGGCCACCGTAAATGCAACACCAAGAAAGACAAGAGATAGCACAACAAAATTTATTTTGTAGATAACATGTTGACCAAGTATCAAATGATTAAATTTACAGACTTCTGTGAAGTGTGTTTCCTGCCAGAATCAGTAGCCAGAGTAGCCGCCATTGTTGGAGATCACTGCTGCCACACGCCTCGGCATTGATTCAAAGAGACTTCGGATGTGTACTTGGGGTACAGCAGACCAAACAGCTTCCCCACGTTGCCAAGGTTGATCTGGTGTGGCAGCTGGGGGTGTAATCTGGGTCAATCGTTGAGCAACCATGGATCACATGTTTTCTATCGGCGAAACATCCGGAGAGCAAGCCGGCCAGGGAAGCAATTCAATCTGGCGATTGACGAAGAACCTTTGGACAATGAGTGCCATGTGTGGTCGCGCATTATCCTGTTGAAATATGGCTGTGGCCAAGCCCTGAAGGTAAGGAAGGACAACTGGCTCCAACACCTCGGAGATGTAGCGCTGGCTGTTTAAAGTACCAGCAATGAGTACTAGAGGAGTGCGAGAGTGATATCCAATACCGCCCCATACCATAATACCCGGTGCATAACGCAGCTGTTCAGCATCCTCTCCATGGTGTCTTTAGACTCGAATCCGACCATCGTGGTGTTGCAAACAGATGCGTGACTCGTCAGTAAAGACAACTTCAATCCATTCTGCCACCCACATCCTTCTGTCATTGCACCATTGGCGTCGGAGACGTCTGTGGTTCTGCGTCAAGGGTAGACCAAGCAATGGACGTCTTGCGGACAGACCACTCAGTTGTAAACGGCGTTGAATGGTACGCGCAGACACTGAATGATGCGTTACAGACTTAATGTGTTTGCTATGGTTCGTGATGTGACTGAGTGATCCGTCTCTGCCATGCGCACAATTTGCCTGTCCTCACATGAAGTGGTGCGCTGAGGTGGATGCGATCGACCACGTCGGTCCGTCGTACCCTCCTACATCCAACGGTCACCTATCCGCATTGCAGTTGTTTGGTATCGTCCAACACGCGACTACCGATTTCCCTGAAAGATAATCCACAATCTCGGTAGGCCACTCTATCCTTCCTCTGTCGAACTCGGATACTTGATCAAAAGCTGATTGCTGTTTTCTACGAGACATAACTGATTGGTTTTTTGAAAAAACCACAAGAAAAGCTCAATTGCCGAACTAATCGTTGAAATCTTCAAGACTTAAATAGCGCCTTGAGGTGGCGCCACGGGTGGGCGTGATGTGTGTCTGCGCTGAAATTCTAATCATTTGCATATCTCACCTCCGCTAATGCATGTTGTAAATTTCCTGTTATTTGCCTGCTTCCTTCAGGGTGTTGCATTTACGGTGACCAGCAGTGTACTTATTTCAATTTTTGAATTCATTTTTTTAAATGGAAATACATAATTCTACAATTCTCACATGTGTGCTTCATTAAGTTTCATAGTTATTAGTACCATTTTTTAAAAATTCTTATAAAATCTGTTTCTTTAGCCTAAGACGGCCACGTGTGGATAAAAATAGAACTACTTTCCGTCCAAAGTCCATTTGGCGAGATTCTAAATAGGCTTATAGTGAGGAGCTTACCAATAACAAATTAGTTTCCACATAAATGGAAAGAAAAAAATTATACTTTCGAGAAAAAGTAAAAGTTCTGAAAAGAAAAAGTATTCTAGCATTATAGTCTGAATATAATGCTAGAATACTTTGTACTTACGCCTGTTTGAAGTACAATTTTTCACTTTAAATTCAGATTATCAAATTTCCTTTTAAATGACCTTTTACATTTGATCTTCCAATGATATATTAGCGATACTTAGCCTCAAAAATTTGTTTCATACCAGTCTGACCTTTTGCCAAACTTTTTGGTATGTAGAAGACAGTGAGGTAACGGAAAATATTAAAGCCCGCCACATGCAAAATCAGATTTTGTGGCCCAAGCCTAAATATGTACTTAGTGTCAGTCAAACTTTGGGTCCCCTAGAGTCCCTGCCCCACAATGTGGGGGTTGCGCTACTGGTCGAAGAATCATTTGTTTTTAAAACATTCCCGTCTCTTGATCTAGGTTCAGATTTGCGAGGTTTGCCGCGAATAGCTTTCTTGTTAGTAAAACAACAACAAAATACGTGTTATATTTATATGTTAGGAGGGTCTAAGAATTACTACATTTTGAAAATAGAAAACTGCATGATAGGGAAAAAAATTGTTTCAAAATTTTATTGCTATTAGAAAGCGCCACAAGTCCTCCCATGGGATTATATCATAACCAAATGTGGGGCCGCGGTAGCCTAGTGGGCAAGTAAACGAACGCAGGGCTGGCGCATCATGAGTTCGAGTCTTGTACCGCTGAAGACCCGCAGTGCAGAGGAGGAGGATATGTCGTTAAATATGTCGAGACTCAAATATCCTGAAGTTGGTGTGGTGTGGAAGTTAGGAGAGGGGTTCCAACTTAGATGTCGTCCTCGTCATTTGACCATGGTTCAAAATTACAAGGTCCGTCGCCAATAGCCCTCGTGTAGCTGAATAGGGTGGCGTTAACATTAAACTTTTCACTCACTCATCATCTAAAAGTGTGAAGTTTGTATTCCCCCTCCAAATACATTATGTTTTCAGCCCTTATATCAATATAATATCACAACTCTCAAAGCCCATTTTATTCGAAAGTCTTTTCAAACTCAACTGCAAACAATAATATTAAAAAAAAATTAAGTCAATTTCTACTTAGGTCAACGAAGAAAAATTTTATTTAGTTACTTTTCATTAAACAGTTACAATTAATATAAATATGTATATACATATGACAGAATCACAATATTAAGTGACAAAATAGAAAGCGATTTTCCTTACAATTTTCCATTTTCTATTCTATATAGGGTGTTGGACTATTATTTTTGTTTGCTACTATTAAAAAAATATTCATTGATTAAATTTAATTATTCTAATACAATAGTGTAGTAAAAAAAACACCACATTATCAGAAATAGGCCATCCCAGGTGGAATTCGAACCCACGGCTTTTGGATTAATGGTCCAATGCGCTATCCATTACGCTACAGGGACACAACAAAAGATTTTCCTGTCTATATATGCTGATGGACTATTATTTTTGTTTGTTACTATTTATTATTTTTTAAATTTAATTAATGAATAAATATTTGATAAAAACTTTATTAACATCAAGTGTCATCCACTACAAGTTAAAAAAAAATTATTTGAACTTGAATGGATGAATAGAAAGTACTTTATTAACGATAGAAAATTGAACAAGAAACTTCGCAATATTCAGCTACTCAAGAGCTTTCGGTTATGGAACTCGTAATTTTGAACCACATTCAAATGACAAGGACGAATTCTGAGCTGGCTCTCCTTCTCTTAACTTCCACACCACACCAACTGGAGAACGTTTGAGCTTCGACAGATTTAACTTGCATCACCCCCTACACGGCGCTTCTTGGCTCGAACTCATGACACGCCGGCCACGAGTCCGTTACTTTGACCACTAGACTACCGCTGCCTTTACCGCCTCGCAGAAAATATTAGTATTTCGGATGAAGACAGTGATCAAGAAATTCTCATTCACACACAAGGATCCTCTAACCATTCAAAGATAAACAAATCATTCAGTGGTTAAATATAAGTAATTAAAAAATTATTATGTTTATAAAATTTTACTTTTAAATTTTTAAGTTTCCTTTTTCTAAATTTAATGAATTTTGATATTTTTATGCAACTGAAATTTTAAAACTAAAGATACATAAAGAACTCGGGCTCCGATTTGTATTATTTTTGTATTCATCTATGGAGTCAAATATGGATTTCGTTGCATGATACTGAATAACACGGAATGTTATCTCCAAAATGTATGAATCACTATCATATCGAATAACCAAAAAGCTAATTAATTGTTTAACCCAAGATTCCACAGAAGCAATTCTGGTCGCCAGTTCGCCACCGTGACTTCTCGATTACCGCAGCCACAATGATTGCACAAAGGCGAGCTCAAACAATCACTACAGAAAAAAATCAATGAAATTTATCGTACTTTCATCATACAGAACAGTGGTTCTTAAATTTTCGATCTCCACGGCCTCCCTTCATGTATCTGCCGGTGGACCTCCAAAATTTTGAAAATCTCTCTCTGGCTCCTAGCACACGACTGAGTGATTTAAAAGATCCTCAATAGTCATAAGACTGCCTCTGCTGTTTGCAAACTTTTTTAATACTTTTTTTTCCTTTAAGAAAACAGTAATAATATATGTACAGTAGAACCTCGTGTATCCGAACGTTTAATATCCGGAGCGTCAAATATCCGAACCAAAGTCCGGATACGTTTTGGAACAGTATAATGCTCAACAATTGTTTCCTGTGAGGCCAAAAGTGACGGGAAAACCCAAGGTGTGGGATATTTGGGGGATTTCAGCTGTGTGTTGTGATTTGGTAAACACCTGCGCGGAATATTAGGTCAGTTTGTTTCCAAGTGAGGGGGTGTATTCATGCTCTTTTGATGAGCTTTGTTGATGTAGAAACCTGGATGGCATGCGATGCAGAAGACTGTGGATTTCAAATGCTAAATGATGACGTGATTGTGACTTCCACGCAAAAAGAATCCGACTCTGTCGACGATGAAACGAATAAAGACTAAGACAACAACAACGAAAGTAGAAAATGCTGACGCGTTTCTGCGTTAGAGACAGATATGGAGTGGTACGAACAACAATCAGAGTGCTGTCCTACTCAAATACTGCTGCTGAAGAGAATCAGAGATCTTGCATTGAAAAAACGAGGGTGTACAAAGGTACAGCGAAGAATAATTGATTATTTTCCACAATCAGTAAAATTGCGACATTTTGCACCTATTTTGCTTTTTCTTCAAGCACGTTTCCCGCATGTGATGATTTTCTATATTTGTATAGTGTCCAGTATCATATACTGCTTGGATCTCATTCGGTTTTCGGTTATCCGAACAATCACGTATCCTAACGGTGTCCGGTCCCAATTGATTCGACAACCTACTGGTACGCGCGCGACGACGTTCTACTGTATATAAAAATATTATAAAATACTAGTGCCAAATAAATAATGTAGGCGCAAATAAATAATTAATACTGACGCAATTCGATTAGGAAATCAAGATGAGTTGAGTGAATATTTACGTCGCCCTGTTCAGCTATACACGAGGGCTATTGGTGACGGACGTCGTAATTTTGAGCCATGATCAAGTGACGAGAACGACACCTGAGCCGGCATCCCTCCTCTCCTAACTACCACACCACACCAACGGGAGGACGTTTGAGCTCTCGACTGATTTAACGTGCATCGCTTCCCTACACGGCGGGTTTTCAGTGGTGCTCGGCTCGAACTCATGATACGCCAGCCACGAGTCCGTTACCTTGACCACTAGGCTACCGTGGCCACTAGGGAATCAAGATGGATGCAATTGTTATTGTATTGACGCGCTATGGGAATTTCGTTCTTAAACTTTGCATTTGTATTTCTATTCTATAATTTTTGAAAATATTACTTTTTAGTAATGGTTATGCATTAGAAAACAACAACAACAAACTGAATTAATATTCTTGATTGAAATACATGTTCCAGTAAACATTTTTACTTAGGACAATTTAGTGATCTTATTTCGGATGACACACCTTTCAATTTTTTCACGAGGTCTTTCAGAGTATGTAAAAGAGTGAAATCTTAACATTAGGTGAGGACCTTCGCAGACTCCCAGGTGTAAGAACCGCTGGCGTGAAATATTGAAATATGAAAAAAATAATCATAAAATGAAAACTTTCAAATTGTCTTAATGCAATGTTTAAAGCAAATTCAACATCTCAAGTATCAGTTGTATCGTGCGGAACTGTATGCTTTGAAAGATTGAAAAATATTTTTGAAAATATTCGAATTTTTCATGCAGTTTGCAAAAACTTATTTATCGCAGTAAAGAATGACATATCACCCTAATTTTAAAATCTGAATTTTAAATTACCAGCTAAAAAGTACCTCTAGTAAGCTAGCAATAAACATGATAAAAAGGTAGAAAAGCATTTTCGACTTACTTGAAAATTTTCGCCACAGGGTTGTTCGAGTATGTATTCAGAATCGGTTGGAACTATACCTACATCAGTAACAGAAAAGTCTGCTTCTTTAACTCTCTCATAAGTGGGTAATTTCTTCTCGAATGCTTTATGGTATGATAGTAAAAGAATACGAGCATTGAAGTATCTTTTCCAATAATAAATACCTATGAAAAGAACATATATTAACAGCGTAAATTATAACATGCTTACAACATTAAAATTCTTGTAAAAAATAAAAATCAAGGATAGTATTCTATTTGTTTTTACGAGAAGTAATGAAGATCACATCATATACGAGTTCATATACATTAGCAAGCAAAGTGTAAGCCACAATTAAGTTTTCAACATAGGAGGGGTGATTGATAAGTAAGGGTCTCCAATAGTAGAAAATAAGTTTACGATAAGGTAAAAGAAATTTATTACTCTTACAAAATGTAAACTCATTTCTCAACATAGTCACCACTAACAGCAACACATTTGTTCAATCCGTTTCTTCATTCCGTCCATGAAGAAAGATTCTGGTTGGCTGCGTATCCATTTGCGTTCGGCTGCCTGAACTTCTGCATCCGTTTAAAAACGTTAACCTTTCAACGTCTTCTTCAATTTTGGGGAACCGAAAGTTCGACGGTGACAAGTCTGGGCTATAAGAAGGTTGTGGAACCCCTAAGCTCAGTTTTCCTATGACGTCCTGTGTTTGTGCACTCCAATGCGGTCTTGCATTGTCGTTATGCTAAAGAAAGACGTTTCTTTCTGATCTGATTCAGCGAATGTTGCTTGAGTGATCGTTATGTTGCACAGTACCTGTCGGAATTCACCATCAGTCCTTTAGTCAGAAATTCCGTGTCCACTTTGCATTCCAAAAGATGGTGAGCATGACATTTGTTGCTGACATTAAAATTTTGAATTTCTTAACACTCGGAGAACCAGGATGACGATATTTCATGGATTACCTCTTGTTTTCTGCGTCATGGTGATGAAACCAGTATGCCAAAGTTCAGGCAGCCGTGCGCAAATGGATACGCAGCCAACCAGAATCTTTCTTCATGGACGGAATGAAGAAACGAATAGAACGATTGAACAAATGTGTAGCTGTCAGTGGAGACTATGTTGAGAAATGAGTTTTCAATATATATAAGAGTAATAAATATCCTTCATTCTGACACCTCTGTAATTATTTTACCTTGCCGGAAACTTATTTTATACCATTGGAGACTTTACTGATCAATCAACCCTCGTACAACTATGAAATTGTTGAAAAGGGCTTTTTGTGACCCCCTCCCCCCTCAGTTAAAAGGCAAAAGAAAAATGCACATGTAAATATCGAGGGGGACGCAAACGCGTGGAATGCACGCGTTCAGTGCCAAGCAACTTATAAAGGAGGAAGAACGTATTTTCAGACATTTCCTGCAAATAAAAATAAAACCGTGTGTCTATAATGGCTACAGGAAACTATCAGGATGCCTTTACACGTGGCAGAATGATCTGCAAGCTTGAAGCCAGTAGTAGTTTTTAACGGGTGTTTTACAAGAATTTGGAATCGACAAAAGTAGTTTCAAGAGATTAGGAAGCTTTTCAAATAACAGGAACAGCTGTAAGAAAGGCTGATGGTGGTTGGCTGAGAAAAACAACAGGAAGTGATGACCGGTGTATTATTCTGCAGGTGAAAAGAGAGAGACCGTAACCAGATATCGGGCAGCAATGCTCAGTAAATGCATGCAACAGCGGGCGACATGTATTACGGTTTACGGTATGTAGCGGTAGCTTCATAAGCAAGTAACAGCCTCCGGACGGTGATCACTTTTGTCAGTGGTTATGTTACTCGGCTACGGAGCCATAGGTCGCGGGTTCTATCCTCCGGATCCATACTTCCACAGCCTGTTAACGTCACATTCCGAAGCTGCAAGAGGTGAGTAACGAACCTTTTTGTCTTGAATCATGTGACGAGGACTTCTTTCTCAACACTTCCACACCATGCCGATT